CTTCTATGGGGATTGATTATTGATCCAAGAAAAATGATAGCCTTTACAACAGGGGTGGGGATCTTTTTTTTTTTTTTTTCCCATGCCAAGGGCCTTTTGGATATTTATAACATCATTTAATGTAAATTCATGTTGCTCTGAAAACTCCTAGATTTATTAAATTCCGAGTCCCACCTGTGATTGCCTTGGCAGGGCTAGACCACATGATTACGAGGGCCTTATACGGCTCATGAAGGAGCTCTGGTAGCGTAGTGTTACGAATCGGGCTGTGAACCTTAAGGTCAGCAGTTCGAAACTACCAGCTGTTCCACGGAAGAAAGATGAGGCTTTCTGCTCCCGTAAAGATTTACGGCCTTGTAAACCCTGTACAGGGTCACTGTGAGTCGGAATTGACTCCATAGCACATAACAACAACAACAGTATGGCCGTGGGCTGGATGTTTCCAACCTCTGCTTTAATAGCTGTAATCTTTTTTTCATTTATCATGCTTTCGGATATTAGTCCAGTTGTGAGGTTTTTTATTTTATGTTGAGATGTAATCCACATGAAAAGACCTGTGATCTTCATCAGTTAAGTGTCTCTTTACTTTCAGCAAGCAAGGGTCACAATTCATTCACAGTTCATTAATGAAGGGTCCTCCAGTCCTGATGTCATGTTGTTCTCTGACTAGTCCAACTCTTGTATTATTTGCTCAGCATTGTTGTTGTTGAGTGCCGTCGAGTCGATTCTGACCCATAGCGACCCTGTATAGGTTTCCAAGGAGCAGGTGGTGATCTTGAACCACCATCCTTATGGACTCTGCAGTCCAGCGCATTAACCCACAGCACCACACCAGGACTCCGCATAATTCTGTTTTTTGCCTAAATTCTCCAATATTGCAAGTTGAGATTTGAGTATTTTCTTCAGTTCTTTCAGCTTGAGAAATGCCGAGCATTTTCTCCGCCTTTTGGTTTTCTAATTCCAGGTCTTTGCACATTTCATTATAATATATGCATTTGTCTTCTCAAGCTGCCCTTTGAAATTTTCTGTTCAGCTCTTTACCTCCTCATATCTCCTATTTGCTTTAGCATCTTTACATGGGAGAGCAAGTTTCAGAGCCTCTTTTGATGTTCATATTGGTCTTTTCCTTCTCGTCTCCTTAATGACCTTTTGCTTTTTTTCTGTATGATGATATTCTTGATGTCATCCCACAAGTCTTTTGGACTTTGTTCATTAGTGTCTAATTAATCAAATCTGTTCTTCAGACGATCTCTAAATTTAGGTGGGATATGTTCAAGGTCATATTTTGGCTCTTGTGTACTTGTCTGAATTTTCTTCAGCTTCAGCTTGAACTTGCATATGAGCAATTGATGGTCTGTTCCACAGTCTGACCTTGGCCTTATTTTGGCTCATGATATGGAATGTTTCCATCATCTCTTCCTACAGATGTACTCAATTTGATTTCTTTGTATTCTGTCTGTAGAAGTCCATGTATTTAAGTCATGGTTTTGGTTGTTTTAAAAAGGTATTTTCAATGAAATGATATACGATAGAATGAATGTAAAACTAAAGTTCTCTCATGTAAACTATCATATAATTCACAATGAAACATTAAAAAAAAGTTAATTGGATGATACTGTAAAAAAAAAAAAGGTATTCTCAATGAAGAAGTCATTGGTCATGCAAAATTCTATTATGTAATTTACAGGATCATTTCTGTCATTCATCAAGGCTATATTTTCCAACTACTGATCTTTCTTCTTCATTTCCAGCCTTTGTTTTCTAATCATCAGTAATTATCCATACAGCTTGATTGTAGACTGAAGAAGTTGGTAGAATTTTTCAATTTCATCCTAATTAACTTTAAATGGTTGATGCATAAATTTTAATAATAGTGGTATTAACTGGTCTTGCTTGTAGGTATATGCATGTTATCATATCACAGAAAGCATTATACTTCATGATAGATCTTGAAATGCTCTTTTTGATGACGAATGTGACGCTATTCCTCTTCAGTTTGTCATTCCCAGCATAGTAAACCATGTGATTGCCAGTTTCAAAATGGCCAATACTAGCCCATTTCAGCTCATTTTTGTTGTTAAGTGCCATTGAATCAGTTCTGACTCCTAGCAACCCTGTATAGGGTTCTGAGGAGTGACTGGTGAGCTTTAACCACTGATTTTGCGGTTCAAACTGACCTTGCAGTCCAGTGCATTAACCTGCAGCTCATTAATGCCTGGGTTATCCAGTGTTATGCATTCCTTTTCATTTTTGACAGCTTCCAATTTTCCTAGATACATACTTTGTACATTCCATGTTCTGCTTATTAATAGATGTTTTCAGCTGTTTCTCCTTATTTTGAGTTGTGCCCCACCAGCAAATGAAGGTCCCAAAAGCTTTACTTTATTTGCCATCACCATGTTCAACTTTACTTTAAAGAGGCAGCTCTTCTCCAGTGGTAGTTTGAGTGTCTTCCAACCTGAGGGGCTCATCATCCAGCACTGTATCTGACAGTATTCTGGTGCTCTTCATAATGTTTCAGTATTCCATATTCTGGTGTTTATCGTATTTGTTCCACTGATATTCTTAAGATTTTCAGTGGGTAAACATTCGTAAGTAGTTTGCCTCCTTCCCTAGTCAGTCTTAGTCTGGAAACTCAGCTGAAAACTGTCCACCATGGTTGACCTTACTGGTTTTTAAAATATCGGTGGTATAGCTTCTAGATTTATAGCAACACACAAGCTACCACACTACAACTGACGGACTGATGAGTGATGGGACATGAAAGATGAGAGGATATAAATTCAAGAAGCTGAAGGAACCCCAAACAGGATAGATCCAGAAACAAACCCACTAAGACACATAACCAAACTCTTCAGAACCAAAGATAAGGAAAGATTCCTAAGGAGCACCATGGGAAAAAATGAGAAGTTACTTGCAATTGAAAACTAATAAAACTAAGCTCTCATTTTTCAGTACAACCTATTCAGTCGGGAAGACAATGGGTGACATATATAAAACTGTAAAAATAAAAAAAGAACTATGTATATCCAGCACAATTGCCCCTCAAGTACTGTGGTGAAATTAAGATGTTTGCAGATAGAAAGAAATTGAAAGAATTTATGAAAATGAGACCAACCTCATAAAAAATACTAATGGGGGTCTTTTGGACAGAGATGGAAACAAAAGCTCATACAACAACTCAAATTAACATACATGACGATAGCAAACTACTCAGAGATAGAGGTATCCCATGGTAAAACAAGGAAAGAAGTACAGCCAGAATTCTCCTTAGATGCAAGGTTGGTAAGACTTCGGACATATTGTCAAGAGGGACCAGTCCCTGGAAAAGAACATCATACTTGGGAAAGGTGGAGGGTCAGCAAAAAGAGGAAGTCCCCACAACAAGGTAGACTGACACAGTGGCAGCATCAATGGGCTCAAACATAGCAACAACTGTGAGGATGGTACAGGATCCAGACAAAGTTTTCTTCTGTTATGCATGGGGTTGCTGTCAGTAGGAGCCTACTGATGGCACCTAACAGCGACAACAACAACAAAGCTAAAGCAAGAACCTTGGGGTGGTGCTGGACACCTGTGAGGTCGGTAGTTTAAACCCACCAGCTTCTCTGCTATGAGTCAGTGTGATTCAATGGCACACAACAACAGTAAGAAAACAAATCAGTAAGACTGAACATAGGGAACCTGAATTAATCAGTTTCCTATAACAGAACCTCAAAGTAGAAAGAGGAAATAGTGTAGTTACAGAATTTCCAAATGAAGAGGTCAAGTAGATTTTAATTTAAAAAAATTTTAACGTAACGGTAACCCTAAAACTAGATCAGGCCTTTTTCTTAGCTGTCGTCTAACCCCTAATACTAAAATTATTGTTAATATTTTCAAGTAGCCAGTATATTACAAGAAGAGTTTATGCATCATGTTTTAAGTTTTGAAGTAGTGGATTTCAAAATTAAGTAAAAAGGCTGCAAAAATACAGTATTGTTAAGTGCTGCTGTTTTCAACGCATAACTATCCTGTATAGGGTTTCCAAGGAGCAGCTGGTGGATTTGAACAGCCAACCTTGTGGTTCACAGTCCAGTTCTGATCCTACCACATCAGTAGTCCATAAAATAAAACAGCATAAAAGGAATTGTAATTATACGCTGAATGTAGTGTAGTGGTAAATAGGAAGGAGAGTGATCTGAGAGGCTGAAGTTATTTTAGAACAATTTGTGTTGTGTACAATTTCCAGAGTATTACCTGTTATTGCGTTTACAGGTAGTGGAAAACAAATTTCCTTTTTCCAAAAATTGCACCAATGTAAAGCACAGCTTTAATTGATGCAGGCGTGTTGTGTAGGCGTTAGCAGTACTGTCCTCACCACACGTTCATTGGACAGTAGCGCAACCCCAAGAAAAGGATGGCTGCTACATGTTAGTGTAATGCCGCTACCGGGAAGCGCGAATACCAAATTGGGTTGTGGTGACTAATTTATGAATTTTCCTTCGTGGTTACTGGTAGCTAGTATACCTCCAATGAACACAGCTCCCCAAGCCGACCACCAAACTCCTAGCTTTTGGAGACTTCTGTGGAGCCGCAGAGTGGTGGCTAATTTCTACCCAGAAGGCACCGCGCTGGCTGCGAGTAAATTTGCATACGTGGCTCCTGGTTGGGGCCGACTCGGCTAGGGGGTGGGGGCGTGGCTGTAGCTCTTGCTGCTTTTCCAGGGGGCGGGAGCTCAGTTTTTTGGACCACACAGCAGCTGATTTTTATTTTGGTTCAGGACGATTTTGTTTAACCTGTAAAACAGTTTTTTTAGTGCAAGAGTTCTCGTGCTGTTAGGGGTTAGCTGAGCCAGAAATACTGGGGTTTTCCTGCAGCAAGGGGGCGGAAGCGCGGACCCCACTTTCTAGGCTGTTAGGGGTTATCTGAGCCAGAAATGCCAGGGCTTTCCAGCAGCAAGTGAACAGGAGCGCGGACCTCATGCCGGTTGCTAATGGAGTTTAGCGTTTCCATTGCAGGTAGTTCTTCTGGGCATGGACATCCTGTCCGCGCTGGTGACCCGGCTACAGGATCGGTTCAAGGCACAGATCGGCACAGGTGAGTTTTGGGCAGCATAGAGCAGGCCCCTAGACTCCCTTTCTCCAGTCTTCCCTCCTTTCCTGCGCTTAGTACCTCCTAACTCTGGCAACCAGCCCCTCTGTACTCACCAGCCTTTTCTTGCATCCTCTTCCTCTTCCAGCCCTCCAACAGGATTTGCACCCTTGCACTTCATTTTGGCCTCAAGCTGGCCTTTCTGCACGTGCTCTCACACTCACTCCCCCGCTCCCCTTCTACCGCCCCCCTTTCTGCTTGGTGTCTTGGAGTATTTGCGTTCTATTATACAGTTTTACTGGTCTTTTGGACTTACGGTGTGGTGCTGTAGGAGCAGCACTGAACTGTGAACCACTAGGTCAGCAGCTCAAATCCACCAGCAGCTCTTTGGAAATCCTCTACCGGGTCGTTATGATTGGGAACTGACACCCTGGCACTTAACCGTAACAGTTGCAACAACAGCTGCTCTTTTATTTCTTGTACAAAATTAACCATCACCTCTTAGTGCCAACTGTCATAATGGCCCCTCACCTTTCTCTCTAGAAAAAGGCAGGTTTTGAGGAGTTATGCAAACCCATTGTAGGTTTTCCCCCCTTAAAAGATTATTGTAGCTATTTGTACTTTCCCTTGTGCTGTAAGCGTCATTTCAAGTGTATGAGGTAAATGCTCTCTTCTTTTTTAAGGGAAAACAATATGTCTAAAAAATGAAATAAAAATAATCATAGGATTCATAGATTTAGAGATAATCTAGACATCTGGGGTTTCATGATGTAGACACCTAACGTTTCACAGTGGTACTGTAAACACGAAATAGTGCTGCCGGGCCAGCATTTCCTTATTTCCTTTTAGAGTTTCTCAGTCAGTGTCTATTGCAACAAGTGTAGTTTTTTTGCTGTTGTTGTTAGATTTTATTCTAGTAGAGTAACTGCCTCACCATTTTGCAAAAACCAAACCAAAACAACCAACACCCCCCACCCAAAAAAAACCACACTAAATAATTTAGAAGTATGGTATTTTAACAGTATTCCATTTTCCTCCTAGAATTACTCAGTAATGTCTCTTTTAAAAGATAGACATAGCTCACTTGTGATGCACAAGTACCCTTGGTTCCTAGGCTACAGCGCCCCTTTTGTGTGTGTGAGGAATGGCTAGAGAACTGCAGGTCTGTGTGATGCAGGTCCTTGTGTGGCGTGCACACTCACCTGTACGTGTCTGCACTTGGCTTTACATCCTCAAGCCACGAGAGGAAAGCCCTTTCATCACCCATGTTTCCTTGTGTGTGGAGTCTTCTTGCCAAGATATTTGGAAATGTGGTGGGTCCTGGCTGTGGGATAAGGATGGTAGGATAAGTAAGAAGATAGACTGTATGTCTGTTTATAAAAATTTGTTTTGGGAGTTTTATAGTTAACTCTAGTGGATTTCAGCAAGATAGGTAGAGCTGTGAGCAAGGATTGGTGGGATTTATGTGCATTGTTTGGAGCCCTGGTGTGGTGCTGTGTGTTAAAGCACTGGACCGCAAGTCAGTTTGAACCACAGGGTTAGCGCTTTAAGCTCACCGGCCACTTCTTGGAAACCATATACAGGGTCACTGTGAGTTGGAACTGACTCGACAGCACTTAACAACAACAACAGCAACACACATCATTTAGTCCAGGATTTTGCCATCCCAATTAATTGAAACATCAACAGTTGGTGACTATAGCTTCTGAAAATATGCTTTAATTTGTAATAATTTGTGTTTTGAATTCCAGTGTTGCCAAGTTTATTAGACAGACTGGGAGATGCTAAAGACTCTGTGAGGGAGCAAGACCAAATACTGCTGCTAAGGATCATGGATCAAGCTGCTAATCCCCAGGTAGGACATGTGTACTTGCATGCGCACAAGTATATAACTTCATATGAGAGACTAATTTCTTTTAAGGTGATATTTACAGATGAAAAATTTCACAATATTTAATCTGCTCTCCCTGGTACAGCACAGGATATTTAAATAAGCAATTAACAGTCCAGGGTATAATAAGGAGGAGGAGGAGCAGAAACTGTGGACTTAACATTGGTATCAAATGCTTTGTTTCGTGATCTGTCAGAATCCTTACCTAATTTATGGAACCGACGCTTCATTTCTCTGAAAAGTGGCCGCTATGGTGTCTAGGAAGTCAGGAGACCTGGCCTATGCCCTGGTCCACATTTGCTTGTGAGCGAGTTGGGACTATGGAGATGAGCAAACCCCAAAGAATCCCACTGTCCTTGGTTAGGGTGAGACAGAATATCAGAAAAACCTTCGCCAGAGAAAAATGAGCATGTGTCTGACTTCTGTACTTGGGCCGGAGAAAGCTTACTTAGGCAGGGGAGCAGTGTGAATACGTGGCCTTTGTAAGCCACCAAAGCATTCAGGTTCACTTTCCTTACCTGCAGAATGGGGACTGCTTTGCTTCCCATTCAAAGCTGCTGGGAGAATTTTAAGTGTAGTTATATTAAGTAAACAGGTTTTTAAAATCCTAAAATGGTAATATATTAATTTCCCCACAAACTTTTTTGAAAAAGTTTGTGGGGAAATTAATTTTATTATTTTTAAATTACATTTTTTCTACAAAAAAGTAAAACCCCTTATATAAATAATCATTTTGCAATGTGCTACTGGGTTAATTGGGTTCTAGAGGATGACACTCATTTGACAGCTGCAGAGAGGTACGTCTGTTATGTGTCATTCTTTCTGCGTGAGAACTGCCAGTCATCTTGTCTTCTCTTCACCTGCTTTTTGTCATCTGCAGTATGTGTGGGACAGAATGCTTGGAGGCTTCAAACACAAGAATTTCCGCACACGAGAAGGCACCTGTCTCTGCCTTATTGCAACACTGAATGCGTAAGTCTGTGCTGAATTGAAATTTTTACTTGGGTAAAGCATTTAATTTAATTTTTTAATTTTTAATTTTTAATTTGAAAGGGTTAGGGAGTCCTATGCATTCTATATCCAGCCTTCTCCAATGTTAGTATCTTGCCTAATATCAGTATCAGCAAGTTGACATTGCTGTAACCCACAGAATTTGTTTGGATTTCAGCAGTTGTGTGTGTGTGTATGTGTGTAGTTCTATGCAGTTTTATCACATGTTGTTGTTAGGAGCATCAAGTTGGTTTTGACCCATAGTGACCCTGTATAGAGTTTCTGAGGAGTCGCTATGAGCTTGAATCGCCGGCCTTGTGGTTCAAAGCGACCTTGCAATCCAATGCTTTATCCCACAGCGCCTCACCTGGGCTCCATGAGTATCCTCATGTATTTACCACCATAATAAAGATATAGGACTCTACCATCACCACAAAGGCTGTCTCAAGTGATCAGTCACTTTAAAGCCACTAATCTGTTCCCCATTGCTGATTTTGTTATTTCAAGAATGCTATCTGCTGAGATTGAGTTTTTTGTTTAATAGAAACAATAGGTTTTGCTAAGCATAGTTCTCTTGAAGTTACATATATGTTGCTGTCTGTAATAATAGTTCATTCATTTTTGTTACTGAGTTGTATTCAGCGATATAGATACGTCAGTCATTGACCATTTGAAAGATTTTTGAATGTTCCCAGTTTTTAACAATTATGAATAAAACTGCTATGGACCGTGTACACACACACACACACACATTTCTGCATGAACATAAATTTTCATTCTTTTGGAATAAGTGCCCATGAGCACAATATAGGAATTTTTAATTTTAGAAGACATTGTTAGACAATTTTCCCAGAGTGTCTGTACCATTCTATATTGCCCACAGGAATGTGTATGAGTGGTCCAGTTGAGTGTTATTTTCTGATACGTGTCTAGTGATATTTTATTGTACTTTTAATTTGTGTTTCCCTGATGGTGGTTGGAGTCCTTGTGTGATGCTGTAGGATAAACTCTGGACTGCTGTTCAAGCCCACCGGTTACTCCTTGGAAGCCCTATATAGGGTCACTATGAGTTGGAACCGACTTGACAGCACTTCACAACAACAATGGTGGTTGAGGTTGAACATGTTTTCATGTACTTGTTGTAGGAGAGGTTTTTAAAAAATTAACAATTACCAATCACTTGTAAGGATTAAAGTAATATTTATATCATATAAAAATTTATGTAAGGAAGAAAATTAAAATCTCCCATAATTCCATCACCTTTAGATAATTACTCATAACACCTGTTGTGTTGAATTTCAGCCTTTAGATTTGTATTATTTTTTAAAACCCAAATGCTTATATTACTTTAGATTTTCCTTTCTTAATGTGTGATCAGCATTTTTCAGGATCATTAACTGTGGCTGTAAGTATGTGAAGCTTGCAATACCTCGGTGGAACAGAGTTTCTTGGAAAGTTGGAGGTTTTAGTCCACTCCGAAGCCTCTTGTAAGAAAGACCTGTTGGCTACTTTAGGAAGTTCAGCCATTGAATGCAGTCTACTCTGGCACACTCAGCGTTGCCAGGCATCAGAATAACTAGATAGCAGCTGGTTTACGTGAAGCTGAAAAAGAAATCTTCGTGTTCTTTGACCGCAGTAGATCTATTTACGGATGTGAATTTGTCCTAAGGGCGTAGTCAATAGAGCAAAGAGATGTGTTCTTAAAGGGTGTTCCTGACAACCATGTTTATGATGGTGAAAAGCTGTAAGCAGCATAAATGTTCTACCATAGGGCGGTGCTGAGGTGGAATGCTCTGCAACCAGCATGTCACAGCAACTAGTAAGTCAGTCTCCACTAAGTTCAATCCAGGGAGCGTGACACTGAAGCAGAGAGGGAAAATTCACTGAAGGAACTTGTAGTCTAGTCTAGTTTGATACACTATATAGAGTTAGGCAAAATAATAATGATGACATAACAAAATGGTGTACTGCAGGGACAGCTGAATGTGTGTGTGGTGGTTGTGTTGTTAAGTGCCTCCGAATCTGTTCCAACTCATAGGATCACAGTGTAAGGCTTCCAAGACTGTAAATCTTTGCAGGAGCAGAAAGTCTCATCTTCTGCAGAATGACTGGTGGACTCAAATCGCTGACCTTTTGGTTCACGGTCTAATGTTTATCCTACATAGCCACTACATTCCCTACACCTATGTGTGAAAACAAGCAACTCCAGGGAGAATTCTGGGGCTTTGAGTTGACTTTACAGAGTTAGGGTGAGGTTGGAGGAAGACTGTGTTAGTAAGAAGCCACTAAAGGCTTTGAACTGGTGAATTTGATGTGTGCACAGGGGCTGCCATGCTGGGTTCCTTTTGGAAACAGTGTAGAGTAGGAGGAGAGAACGTTGGTGAGAGGTGGGGCGAGGAACTAGGGATGAAAGTAAAGAGAGGAGTGTGGGTGGGTATGTTTTTTTGTTCTCACTAACAATGAAAAATTTTTGTTTTCAGCTCTGGAGCCCATACTTTAACACTAAGCAAGATTGTGCCACATATTTGTAATTTACTTGGTGATCCAAACAGCCAGGTGAGTGTATATTTAGTTAGAAAATACCTATAAAAATAAATGCTTTCAAACAGTTAAAGATGCATTTTGGTGTTCTGTGTAAGCCTAAGTCAAAAAGTTTTGGCATAAGTGTTCCAGTTCATACATGCATAGGCTTATTCCAAATATAACATGCTTAAACATGCTTCTGTGATCAGTAGATGGCTGCAGACACATTCTGTCTGTGATACATTTGTCTTAATCTCATAGGGTGCTTTCCAAAGGAAGTGTCAGTTTAAGCAGTGACTTCTGAGGACATCCGCTCAAAAATGTGCAGCAGTGCTTTCTGACTTACCCTTTCACCTGACAGGAGCTTAGGGACTTTTGTCATATTTATGAAACTTTGATTATTGTCTAAGGTTATTATCAGCAATCCACTAGCATTTATGAAATATCACAGAAAAATCTTCCCTCTTTCCTAACAAATAAGACTAAGAAATCACTAGCGCCTCAATTGGATATCATGTAGACCAGCATTCAAGATACTATCACTCTGGTCACCATCTCTGCAGCCAAAAGGGGTTGGGATGCTGGTGAGAGAAATATATGGTGAATAAAGTCAGACAGTGATTGCTGGGAGGTGGATGACCGGGGGGAGGTTGGAAAGTGACCCAAGGGAGCATTTCTGAGATGATGGAAAATGTTTTATGTCTTGCTTTGGGCTGTGGTTGGTTTCACTGGTGTATATAATTATTGAAACTGTTTTAGAGTGCACCCTTACAAATTGTACATGTTAATTATTTATTTTTTAACTTTTTATTGTGAATTGAGTGAAGGTTTACAGAGCAGATCCTGTACATTTTACATCAAATTCAAAAATAACCCCACTTCCTTGGCAGGATGGTGGGAGAAAAGTTGTTCATCTATAAGTCATGAAGTTTTGCAAGTCTGGTCACTAGAAATACTTGCCTAGTTCAGTTCTATTTATTTTTATCATTATTTTTACGTACGGGATTTGCTCATTCAAATTGATAGGTGAAACACTTGATTAGATAAGGGGGCTGACAATAGGTACAAGGATTTATGGAAGAAATATACATGATAAACAGGAATCTCCCTTTAAAGCTTCATTGGAGGTGTGCAGATTTCCTATTTACACCAGCTAATAGGTCCCACTGTATCTGAGCACATCTTGTTTTCTTACCCTTTCTTCTTCCTTCCTGCCTTCATTTCACCAGAGGTTTCCCTGCCTCTTTGGGGGTCTGTTGCACTGCTTCCTTTCCTTACCTGCCCTTGTTACCCAATTGCTGCCTGTTTCTGTTTTCTTGGTCTTCCTTGCTGGCACCTGTTTTCTTCCTTCCATTCATTCTCTTATCCAGCTTTAATTGAAAACTTGCCATTATGTACTGAATCATACTTTATTTAAAAATAACATGAATTTCAGTCTCTTTTCTATTTTAATTTCAAACTTTTTATTGGAACCTGAGTGAAGGTTTACAGAATAGATCATCAGTTTCACAGTCAACAAACCCTACACTTCATTTCATTCTGTTGCATTCCCTTCAGTGTAGTACATGGCCCTCTTCTTCCCTGTGTTTCTTGGTTCCAAGTCACTTCCTTTCCTCATCCTTGTGATCTTAAAACATTGTCACACCGGGACCCGCAAGGATCCTGGTGTGGCACTATAAGATAAGCACTAGACTGTTGATCACAAGGCTGGCAGTTCAAACCAGTCACTCCTTGGAAACCTGTATAGGTTCTGTAAGAATCGGAATCGACTTCAAGGCACATAATAGCAACAATAGCAACATGCTCCACCACATTCATGGCTATGGTTGCTGCAAAAGTAATGATGTCTAGGTGTCATCAGATTGGTTTTGACTTAACAGTGACCCTGTGTATGCAGAACGAAGCACTACCGATCCTGCGCCATCCTCATCATTGTTCTTGAGCCTGTTGCTTTGACCACTGTCCCAGTACATCTCATTGGGGGCCTTCCTCTTTTTCTCCTACCCACATTTTACTAAGGGCCTGGTTCCTCCTGATGACATGTCCAAAGCATGAGAGACAAAGTCTCAACGTCTTGGCTTCTAAGAAGCACTATAGCTGTACTTCTTCCAACACAAACCTGTTTGTTCTTCTGGCAGTCCATGGTACATTACACATTCTTCCTCAACCCCACAACTCAGTGCATCAATTCTTCTATGTGCTTCCTTATTCATTGTCTAACATTCACATGCATATCCATAGTTTGTTATGATCCACACAGTCAGAAACTTTGCATGGTCAGTAATGCACAAGTAAACATTTTTCTAGTATTCTCTTTTCAGATTCATCTGATGTCAGCAGTGATACCTTCCTTAGTTCCATGTTTTCTTCTGAATTGGGCTGAGTTGCTAGCATTTCCCTGTTAGTATCCTACTGCAACGGTTTTTGAATTATCTTCAGCAAAATTTTACTTGTATGTGATGCTAATGATACTGTTCAATGAGTTCAGCATTCTGTTGGGTCACTTTTCTTTGGAATGGGCACAAGTAATGGAGCTCACCCAATCGGATCACCAGGTAGCTGTCTTCCAAAGATCTTGGCAAAGATAAATGAGCACCTCCTGTGCTACATCAGTTTTTTGAAAAATTTCAGTTTGAATTCTATCAATTCCTGGAGCCTTGTTTTTCACCAATGTCTTCATTGGTTAAAAAAAAAAGCCTGGACTTCTTCCTTCAGTACCATCAGTTCTTGATCATACGCTACTTCTTGAAATGGTTGAACATTGACCATTTCTTTTTGGTACAGTGACTCTGTGCATTCCATCTTCTTTTGATGCTTTTGTATTTCTCACATAGACTCCTTCAATATTGCAAGCTTAAGCTTGAAGTTTTTCTTCAGTTCTTTCAGCTTGAGAAATGCTTAAAGTAGTATTACTTTTTGGTTTTGTAGGTCTGTGTCTTTGCACATTGTTTTGTCTCCTCGAGCTGCCCTTTGAAATTTCCTTTTCTATTCTTTTGCTTCATAATTTTTTCCATTTTCTTTAGCATATCTACATTCAAGAGCAAGTTTCAGAGTCTCTTCTGACATCCTTATTTTGGAAGTAGATTAAATTTCGTGTGATCAGCACAATATATATTCTGAAAATATAATTGTTTTTAAGAATCTGAATTAATTAGCTTTGACTCTTGACATAACATTTTAAAGCTCCCAAATGGTACAGTCTATTTAATACTGAGCCACTTGTTGTGAAGTGTCCTAGAGTCATTTCCAATGCATAGTGACCCTGAATAGGGTTTCTGAGAAGTGAATGATGGATTTGAACTGCTGATCTTCTGTTTAGCAGTCTAATACTTATAGTATAGTGCAAAAAGCTTGGATCAGAAAACAATCTGGATTTTTTTCCTTGTTTTGGTGACATATACCAGGCAGGTGACCTTGGTGGATATTGATTCTTGAGTGTCTGTTTCCTCTGTAAGATGATGGCAGTGGTAGGTACAGTTAAAAGTGCCAGTTAGATGAGTGTACCTTGAAGGGTAACTGTTCTTAGGACTTGGTGTGACCAATTGGTGTTAAGTACCTTCAAGTCAGCAGTAACTCCTAACAACCTTATGCACAAGAGAACGAAACACTGCTCAGTCTTGTACCAGTCTCACAATTGTTAGGCTTGGGCCCATTGCTGCTGCCGCTGTACCATTGCATCTCGTTGGGGGTCTTCCTCTTTTTCACAGATCCTCCACTCTACCAAGTACTTCTCCAGGGACTCATCTCTTCTGATAATAGTTCCAGAGTATGAGAGACGAAGTCTGGCCAATCCTGGCTTCTAAGGAGCATTCTGGCTGTACTTCTGCAAACACAGATTTGTTCATTTTCCTGGTAGTCAGTGTTACTTTTAATATTCTCCTCCACTACCATAACTCATATGTGTCAGTTATTCTATGGTCTCTCTTATTCATTGTCCAATTTTCATACGCATATGAAAATATTGAAAATATTATGATTTGGGTCCTCAAATTGATATCTTTGCTCTTGAACATGTTAAAGACGTTTTGTGTAGCAGATTTGCGTAATGCACTATATCAGTTGATTTCTTGTGCTGCTTCCATGAGTGTTTATGGTTGATCGGAGCAAATTGAAGTCTTTGACAACTCCAGTCTTTACTCCATTTATCTTGATGTTATTTACTGGTCCAGTAGTGAGAGTTTTTGTTTTCTTTACATGGAGGTGTAGCCCATAACGAAGGCTTGTGGCATTTGATCTTTATCATAAGCATTTTTTAAAGTCCTCTTGACTTTTAGCAAGCAAGGTTGTGTCATCTGCATATAGCAGGCTATTAATGAGTCTTTCTCCAATCCTGATGCCCTGTTCTTCATATAACCCACCTTCTCTGATTATTTGCTCAGAATGCAGATTGAATTAAGTATGGTGAAAGAATACAATCCTGGTGCATACCTATCCTAATTTTAAACCATTCAGTATCCCCTTATTATTCTTTTGGAATGACTGCCTCTTGGTCTGTGTACAAGTTCCTTATGAGCACAATTAAGTGTTCCATAATACTCGATCTCAATTAAGCACAGGTAATATATTTCTGGTGTTTTCTGCTTCCATGCACAATCCATCTGATGTCAGCAGTGATAGCCCTAGCTCCATGTCTCCATCTGAATCCAGCCTGAACCTCTGGCAGCTCTCTGTCAATGTACTGCTACAGCCATTTTTGAATTATCTTCAGCAAAATTTTACTTGCATGCGATATTATTGATATTGTCCAATGAATTCTGCATTCAAATGAGTCACATCACATCTCTTTGGAATGGGTACAGATAAAGATCTCTTCCAGTCAATTGGCAAGATAGTTGTCATTCACATTTTTTGGTATAGATGAGTGAGTTCCTCCAGTGCCGTCTCACTTTCTTGAAAGATTTCAATTTGTATTCCATCAATTCCTGGTGCCTTGTTCTTTGCCAATTCCTTCAGTGCACCTTGGACTTCTTCCTTCAGTGTCATTGGCTCTTGATCATATGCTGCTTGCAGTAACCATGTAGGAGTCTTGTCTG